TGAGACCATGAAGGAATGCCTCATTCAGCCTGGAGAAAACCAGAATAGATGGCTTCCCCACAGGGAAAGTCACTCTAGAGCTGACCCCTTAAGGAGAAGGAGGAGATTACCAAGTAGTTAAGGAAGGGAAGCATTCAGGTGGAGGGGACAGCACTTTGTGAAGACTTCGGAGCAGGAGAAAACATGGAGTACGTAGCCAAAAGCAAGGAGAAGTGAAGCAAGGCCAAGCTTTCACAATAATCTTTCACAGTAACGTGGAGAATGGATTAGAGAAGAGTAAGAATGATCCTACAGATAGTGGTTGTGGATTGTGTGGGGTTGAATATTATCCAAAAACTTAAGGGTTTGAATAAACATCTTCCAGAATATAGGCACCTTGTTTCATTACTTCTTTGAGGAAGGCTGACTATAAGGTAATACTAAGTTTAAAGTTTATTTCTGTGTTTTTCTGTATATTTTGAAGAAAGAAACAGAAAAATGCCCCACTATTGACTTCCTGATATTTGAAAAGAAGTTGCTTTCCTTCCTTCTTTTCTGTTGCAATGAAAATAAAATCAAGTCTGAGCACTCTTGGTAATGACTGTACTGAGCTTATGTATTCCCAAAATAAATGCATTAGCTTTGCAGGAAGTTATCTGACATCTCCAGGCTCCAAACACAACATTTTTTAACAAAATGGCCTTGAGCTAAATCCTTCTGGAAAAGTCCTGAATCACCAGGGGTCTAGAAATCCAATAAAAGGGAGAAGGGACTCCTGATAACATGTGTTACTATCAGGATGCTTCGTGGGCTTCTGAGAATGATATAACCTCATGGTCTAAAACACTAGGCCATAGATAATCAAAGCCACTTGTCACGAATTACTACAAAACATTTCTGTTTCTCTTTTTTTCCCCCTATCTTTCTATCTATCCCCCTCCCACACCCTATTTTAATTATGTTTTTATTATGTCTCATCTCAGACAAGGTTCTGTTTGTTCCTTCTTGCCTCTTCTCCCAGATTATTTGTTCTGATATTTTCCCCTCATGGTTCTTTTATTCAACATATGAAGCTCTACATTCCCATCCTCTGTTGAGT